CAAGGAAGGGGGTCAGCAGAACTGCTACCTTGGAATTCCAGAGGGCAGACTTTGGCCTCTTTAGGAGACTGGTTAAGGGAGTCCCTGAGGAGTCAGTCCTGAAGGGCAAAGGATCCAGGAAGGCTGGATATTCTTCAAGGAAGAAATCCCAAAGGCACAGTAGCAGGCCATCATCATGTGCCAAAAGACCAGCTGGCAAGGAAGAAGACTGGCCTGAATGTACAGAGACCTATGGCTGAAGCTCTGAAAAAACAGGAGAGTTTATGTCCTTTAGAAAGGGAAGGCCACTCAGAAAGACTACAGGGATGTTGTGAGGCTATGTAGAGAAAAAACTAGAAGAGCCAAAGCCCAACTAGAACTTAATCTGGCTACTACCATGAAAGACAATTAGAAATGTTTCTATAAATACATTAACAACAAAACGAGGGCTAAGAAGAATCTCCGTCCTTTATTAGAATTGGGGGAAAATGTGAAGACGAGGAAAAGGCTCAGGTACTTAATGACTTCTTTGTCTCAGTTTTTAATGGTAAAACCAGTTGTTCTGAGGGTACCAGGCCCTCTGAGCTGGAAGAGAGGGATGGGAAGCAGAATGAAGCACCTAAATTCAGGGAAAAAATCATCAGTGACTTGCACACTGCTTAGACACACACAAGCCAGTGGGGCAGGATGAGATCCACCCAAGGGTACTGAGGGAAGTGGTGGAAGGGTTGACCAGTAGTCCTGGTCAACTGGGAAGGTTGACCAAGGTGACTGGAAGTTGGCAAATGTGACACACATCAACAAAAAGGCCCAGAAGTGGATCCAGGGACTGTAAATCTGACCTCGATGCCAGGAACAGATAATTTTCAGTGCCATCACAAAGCACTGTGGACACACAGGTATAAAGGACAACCAGGGGATCAGGTCTAACACGGGTTTGTGAAAGACGGGTCCTGCTTGACCATCCCGATCTCCTTCTATGACAAGGTGACCTGCTTAGTGGATGAAGGAAAATCTGTGAATGTTGTCTACCTGGACTTTAGTAAAGTCTTTGACACCCTTTCCCACATCATTCTCCTAGAGAAACTGGTTGTTCATGGTTTGAACAGGTGCACTATTCACTGGATAAAAGTCTGGCTGGATGGCTGGGCCCAGAGATTGTTGGGGAATGGTGCTACATCCAGCTGGTGGCCGGTCACTAGTAGTGTTCCCCAGGGCTCAGTGATGGGGCCAGTCCTGTTTAATATCTTTATAAATGATCTGGATGATGAAACTGAGGGCACCCTCAGTCAGTCTGCGAAGTTGGGTGGGATTATTGATCTGCTGGGGGATAAGAAGGCTCTGCAGAGGGGATCTGAATAGGCTGGATCAATGGGCTGAGGCCAATTGTATGAGGTTCAATAAGTACAAGTACAGGGTCTTACACCTGGGTCACAACAGCCCCATGCAGTGATACAGGCTTGGGGCAGAGCGGCTGGAAAGCTGCACAGTGGAAAGGGATCTGAGGGTGTTGGTCAATAGCAGCTGAACATGAGCCAGCAGTGTGCCCAGGTGACCAAGAAGGCCAGTGGCATCCTGCCTTGTATCAGAAGTAGTGTGGTCAGCAGAACCAGGGAAGTCATTTTCCGCTCTGTAGTCAGCACTGATGAGGTCAAATCTGGAATCCTGTGTCCAGTTTTGGGCCTCTCACTACACCAAAGACATCGAGGTGCTGGAGTGTGTCCAGAGAAGGGAAACAAAGCTGGGGGAGGGTCTGGAGCACAAGTCTGATGAGGAGCTACTGAGAAAGCTGGGGTTGTTCAGCCTGGAGAAAAGGAGAACTGGGGAAACCACATTGCTCTCTACAACTACATGAAAGGAGGTTGTAGTGAGGTGGGAGTCGATGATATCACTCACAGGTGATAAGCAAAAAGACAAGAGGAACCAGCCTCAAGTTGCACCAGGAGAGGTTTAGATTGGATATGAAGAAACATTTGTTCACTGGAAGGGTTTTCAAGCACTGGAACAGGCTGCCCAGGGAAGTGGTGGAATCACCATCCTTGGGGGTATTTCAATGATGTGTAGATGTGGCACTTAGGGACATAGTCTGGTGGTCAGCTTTGAAGTGTTAGGTTTATGATTGGACTCCATGATCATTTCCAACCCATATGATTCCATTCTATTCTGTTCTCTATCCCGACATTCGGGTACTCATTCTCCTTTTTAAATGCGTCAGACCACTTAGAACACAGCCATAATCATACCTGATATTGTTCAAATTAATAATCACTCATTTGTGATCATAAGGGGGTTTTTTTATACCTTGTATTAAAGATATAAGAAACCTTGTCATGTAATTCAGAAAGACATATGGCAGTCTCTCATTTTAGTGTTACCGACAGAGAGTACTTGTAATTCTGTTGCACTTTTTACTACTATCAGTATGACTATTGTTTCTGCTCAGTAAAGGTCAAAGGATACTGTGACTCAAGGGAAGGCGAGGGTGCTCAGCCACCTCTCATTACAGTCTTTTCTGGCCCAGCAGAAAGCCTTAAAGATTCCTCTGAAATTACTGAACAGACAGTTCCTGTACTTGGGTGAGGGCTTGTTACACACAAACTGTTTGGATGATTTAAAATACAAGTAGATAGAAATGTAACAGAAAAATGTAACAGCAAGCGACAGAAAACATGATCCCTTAGGTGCCGTAGCTGCAGGCTTAGTGACAGATGATGCTGCAAAATGGCTTCAAGATGGGATATTTACAAAATTGCTTTATGAGAATTTTACACTGCTAATCACAAGGCTCTAATAATAAGTCTTCCCTTATTAATCGAAATCTAAGCACTAGCTCACATTTTCAGACATCATCTTTGTTAAAGTCTGTTAGAAACTTACAATATTCCTTTTCCATTTCTAAACCTGACTTCGCATCTGACAGTTTCAGAATTGCCTTAGCCCTCCTCAATATACTAGACACAGAATTCCTCATTTGATTAATTCTAATAATTTTTAGTCATTATTACTTTTTAACATATATTGGTTCAGCAGATAAATATTATTTATAACTTTAATTTGTGTTCTGTTTGGATTGTACAATCACAGGGCTAACTTGGCTATCATTATTATCATATTGTTTTATACTGGTCCTAAAATTAAAATCCATTCTTGTCTTTAAGTGTTTTATTGTACTTGTCTTTCTTGCTTTGCATTGCATAGTCCGTGATTAATTCTGTTAGCCAAGTGCATATGGCCTATTTGGCTATCATCCATTATCTTCATCACTGTTGCCTCAAAATGAGCACTTTATTATTACCTTTTTCATCTTTCCAATTACCAGATGTGCTTTTGCATTCCCATACTTTTCCTACTAGGCTGAGATCTACATTTAGAGTCATTGAAGATTAAATGATTTTTCCCTGGCTAAATACAGAAAATTTGAGGGTCAGTTCCAGTATTATAGAAATAAGTAAGTTTTGAAAAACAGAATAAAGAATATCTGGTTGTTTCTCTAGAAAGAAAGCTTCATTTATTGTCAAAAAAATGGTAGTTTGGTAGAGGATCAGATTTAGATAAAAGGAAAATTCCCTCTGCATATCCTGCAACTACATTTGATTCAAGTATCTTTCTGAAGCCTCAGAAGTCTTATCTAAGCTGAGGTTTGCCCATACCTGCCTATCCTATAACTGTGATTTCCTGGAATGCATCCCCCACCTGACCCTCGACTAAAAAAAATAAAAGAAAAAAAGGAAACAAAAACTGAAAAGCTTATAAAAAAGTCTACAAAATGCTGGCAGCAGCATCTCTCACTGTAAAAAGCCTCTTGCAAGGTTTCCATTCTAATTTTTCAGGTTCAGGCAACATAGTCTGGTTCAGTGTGACAACACCTGAACACTTTTCTGACTGCATTCAAACCCCTAACCAGGCAATGTTCATTTAACCACAAGGTTAGCTGAGCTAAATGTGGCATACAGTAAAAAACCTTGACAAAGTAAGGATAATATCTCTTTTGTTGTTGTTCATTTCATTTATATAATTTGAAGAAAATACCTACCTTAACACCTCAGTCCACTCCAGTATTATTTCTCTAAGTGTCTTAAATACAGTTAGAGTATTTATCTTTTTATAGTTCCATTATTGAACATTAAAAAAAAAAAAATCACTAGAGAAACATTTTATATAATGCCACAAACTCATCTTATGGCATAGGTATTTCTAAATGCCCATGATTTTTTTCTATATAAGATCTTCGATTTAAAAAAGTAATGAAATAAGGGAATATCTCACTCTCAAACCTTTGTACTGTAAATCTGTTTCTAGGCAAGGACCTACTCATTGCCCCACAAAGCAATGTTGGAACCAGACCTGTTCATGACCCTGGGAAACATAAGGGAAATGTTATAAGATAAGTAAGAGAGGAAGCTGGCAGACAGAAACATGCTAGCTTCTGTTTTCTGACCTAAGTATGCTGCTTTGGGCATTTTAGAAAAATCTGTTAATAATCACTATGAAGGAAGAAGAAAACATTACAACATGAAAAAAATCACGTAAAGGGGTGGAAGAATGTAAGCTGAAATGTTCAGAAATGATTAGAGCTACAAGTTTCAAACCTCCCTCAATATTCTGATTTTCAAGAGACAGGCATGTATTTCCCAAAGTTTGAGTGCCTGAATAAAGGCAAGCAGAGCACTAAAAACATAGGTCCTCTGGTTCACCTTTGAGAGTTGTATAGTCCAGGGCAGGTCAGAAGAACTGTTGAAATGCTGCCACTTACAAGAAAACTTGCAAGGTTCTTTAGTGCTCTGGCATTTAGCCCAAGATTTTAAAATTATTTGGGGGGACTTAATTGTTCAAGTAGCATGGTATAATTAGCCTATCTTATGCTGACCACAGCCCCTAAAGATCAGATTCTTTAAATTGCCCCTTTTTTAGTAACTCAGAATTGAGGCTACCTTCTTCCCCTAAAGAAAAAGCTGTGCTCCTCAGGCAAATTCATGTCCTTGATCTCACTAGATCTGATGTTTATACCTTTATGCCTCTCTATAGCCTCTTACTCCAGGCATAGTGACATTTACTTCAACAGAGCTCTGCCCAAGTGTTGTGCCGTAGTGACATATCCAGACTTGGTTCTTCTGTGCCTGCAGAAGTAAAAGGTATCCCATATGTATTAAGATGACAGGGCAATGTGTTGAAAACTTTTACGTATGAAGAATCTTAAGATACTAGATCAAAAAAGATTGCAGAAATGATAAATGTCATTTATACACTGGCAGGTTAATATCATGGCAATGTCTGGATTTTCATCTAAACATTACCAGGAAAAGTTTGACAAGTCTGGGATAATATGGCTTGGCTATTTCTCTCATTTGGGCTGATATTTGCTTGATCTGCTCTTACCTTAATAAGTTTGCTCTGAGCAGAAGAGCAACTCTGCATCTTCCCTCCTGGCAAAAGATACACAAAATACCTTTTTATCTCAATGAACAGTTTGCACTCTTCTGCAAGAATTTGGAATTTGCTATTGCTAAAATGTCCTCTCTATCTTTTGGTACTGTGATTGTATTAGCAATGGCAGATTGCCTTTGGTAACCCTTTGTTCTGAAGTTTTAGTAACAAAGTGTCTGGATACAAAACTTTGTCATACTATGTTTTGAAGATTTTGTAGCAGCAGAAAGCAGAGTGCGTCTGCGAGCATTTATAATGGAGAAAAGCTAAGTGATAAAGTGCACCTTTAACATAATGACAGTAATTCAGTCTCAGACAGTGAATGCTATTATACCCTCTTTTAAAGACTAAAATCAGTCAATTGAAATGACAATTATGATAATTCTCATGTAATGAAGATTATTTTGAAACAAAAATCTTTTTTGTTGTTTGTGCTTGTGAATATGTGTGTATTTACTGGACTCAAGTAAAATCTCAAAATTTTGCTTGACTGGAAATTCTATACAAATATAATAGTATTTTCTAACCCTTCTGTTTGTTTCAGTTGATATTTAGTGAAAATTGACTTCTTAAAAAGAAAAGAAATCATAGAATCATTAAGGTTGAAAAATACCTCCAAGATCATCTATAAAGATACTTTGGTGAAACAGTCTGAGCTTACAGCTTGGAAAAATGGGCAGCCTTATAAAAGTAGTTAGTTTGAGCAGTCTTAAAATATGACATGATACTTCCTCTCCAAAGCAGCCAGTGCATTTACCCTGTGTTTTATCTTAACTTTCTAAAGGAAGATACTGTGAGCTTCTAAAAACCACATGGATAGTTAATAGTGAACAATAGTTCCAGCAAATGTTATTCTAACTAGGAGTCAGTCTATGATAGGTGGCCTGTCATAGTTATCTGAGTTGAAAGAGAACATACTTATCATCTGAATTTAGTTCTTATGTGGGTTAAATTTTCAAAGAAGTCTAATCCTACAAAACTACAACTAAAGTTATACTTTTCTTGGGGTCCTTTGAAAAATTCGTTCTGTTTTAACAAATCAAGCACTCAGGAACATTGTACAGAAGAAGTAAAATAACACAAAAGCCACAACAAAGACACACACAGACAGGGAGTTCAAATGAAAAAGAGGTTAAGGAAAAGATTTGCTGGGGCAAAGGGGGTGATAAAGCAGGGAATAAGTACAACACGTCCATAAGCAACTTACCTCCATGGTCTGACGTGAGTATTACATAGAGCTCCTGCCCTATGAAACAGTTCTGACCTAAAATACAGAAAATATTAGTATTAAGCTTACAAAACACATTGGAGAGCTACAGATATACTTTAGTCAAACAAGGAAGATGCTTGTTGGCATAATGTAGCTACATATTTTGTATATTACTTTCTGCCTCAATTGTTCTGAGTCTCATAATGATAACCCTTACCCACCTCTGTAAAATACTTCTTGGGAAAATTGATATGTAAATACCGGTAAATTTTTTTTGTTCAAGCTTTTTTACTTTTCATTGCTCAGTTCATTTCAAAATAGAGAACTAATGACGAACCTCACATAAAAACCCCAAGAGATTCCCTTAAGCCAGGTGACACTTTACCTGTACTGTTTAGCAATGATAAAGGATGCATTTCTTCTTTGTTGAGGGATGGTAATTAGGATCAGGTGAATTTGTATTTTGCTTGCAGAGCTTTATTCATGTGAACTACCCTAAAAGTGGAGTTCATATTAATAAAGCTGGTTATTTCTGGTTAATAAAGATGGTTATTTCTTCTTAGACCTGACCTAGTTCTAATAATTTGCCATTCAAAAGACGCAGAACTTAGATCTTTGCAGGAAGTTGTTACAATTCACTGTGAACAGTGGCCTAAAAGGGTTGCCGTATGCAGTCAAATACATTGGCACAGTAGGGAAATGTGATCTTTTCTAAGGCTATTATTCTAATCATTTCATCTAGTCCCTTGTCCAAATATAATATGCATTGGCACAAAGTTAATTTAATTTTTTTTAATCCCTGCAACAGTACAAAAACCCATGACAAAGCAGGGTGTCGAACATGTGCTTTTAGGAAGTCCTTCATTGCCTGTTAATTGCGTATTGCAATTGTGTCAAAGTGATCTAGATGACATTGCTCTGCTGACTGTTTTGTGGTGATGTTTAATAGCTGAAAGGCCAAATGCAGTACCTGGCATTCACTTTAAATATGCCTTAGATACTGAGTACAGTTTCACATCACAAAACACAGTTCAGTCACAGAACAGCTGATTGTACCCTTAGACACACTCTTGTTTCCCAGGTTTTTTTAACTGTCTTGGCCCTGATCCTGCCAGCAAACTTCAGCTTTGCTCTGCATGAGTCCCTAATTTAGCAGTGAGGATTTCATCTGGAAAGTTTGCCAGAGTGCCTTCTTAGGCTTACATCCACTGCAGCACCATGGCCCCAGAACTAGCTAGTGAAATTTTGGGGCAGATTTTAAAAGTTGTGCCTAAATCCTACAGGTCAGACTCTGCCCTGCAATCACACATGAGAACTCAATTGGCTGTCCTTCTTCTCCTTCTCCCTCCACTCTTCATGAAGAAAAGGAAAAAAGTGTTACTCTTTTTGCCAGTCCAGAAAGCTGCATCCTACCTGAAGGTCTGACACAAGAGATCCACAGGAGCAGGCTGAATCACTTCCCTTCTTCCCGTCTTTAGCTGGTGAGTAATACTAATGCTGAGAGCCCCAGAGACACGCACTCAGCAGTTGTTTCAATGGGAGTCAGGTGCTCAGGCACCAGCAATCCAAGCCCATGTGCTCTCCCAGCATTTTTTCTTCAAGGCTCCTTGCAAACATTAATTATTCCTCACAACATTCCTGAGAGGTATCCCTACCCCTATGGTCCTGAAGGGAAAATTAAGGAGATAATTAGAGCCTTGTAATGAAGTAACATCAGATGACCTGGAGCCCAATCTGCTATCTGGGCCAATAGATAATGCCCTTGGACTGACTAATTGTAGGCACCTAATTGTATTAACACACAAAAGCAGCAATTCACTCAGTGGCAAAGAAGTGATCACCCAGCAGTCTTTCCCTCTCGGAAAATTACGTCACCTCAGGGCTCTGATTCAGGATCCCCATCAAATTGAACTGTGACAACTAAAGAAACTGCTGCTGCTACTCTTATCACAGCTAAATCTGAACACCCCTACTAAGGAATGAGACAGCAAATATTCTCCCTTATTAAAGATAAAACATAGCATTGCACATTTTCTTGGAAAAACACTGTAAGCCTAGGACTGAAAATGGATAATGTTAGCTTCAGCATGTGCAAGAAGACGGAACAGGTCACTGCCCATTTCTGCCTCAGTTTCCTCTTTATTGAAGAAAGTGTTAAAACAGGACTTTAATGAGCAACTAAGTGTTCAACTCCATGTTGAGTTGATGGCTTGAACACTGGCTGATCATACAAAGCAGCTTTGAAATTCCAGCCTGGAAGTCAATAAGTTTTTGGGGAAAAGAGGACACTTCACTGTCATGCTTAAGGCTTACTACTGCTAAAACTGGTCTAAATAATTTCAGCTGAGATAAACAGATTTTAATTTAGGGATTCCGGCAGAGTTTATTTCTTTGCTGTTATTGTTTATGAAGTTTATCAATGCAAAAGCTCTAGTATTTCCATGGTAAATGTCAGCAAATTTAAATTTTAACCAAATGAGAAGTTTCTGAAATTTAATTCCGCGGAAACTTGTATTTTGATTTTTTTGAACCATTGTGTCATGTGAAGAAAGATTGAAACTGCCTGAAGGACTAAAATTCACCAAATAGTTCTTGACAATAATTAAATGCATTTTCTTATAGGGAATATTGGTTCCACTACTATACCCTTAATGCTTGAAAAAATTTTTTCAGCCTCACATGTTTAGAATTTAGTTTTTTAGTTATTTCCCCTTCCTCCCTCATATATTACTCCTGTCTCAGAAGTTCATGTGTATCTTGCTGTCTTTGAAAAAATGTTTAGGGACACTTCAAAGAAAGAAAAAAAAAAAAAAACAGCACCAAAAGCCGAAACCAAAACCAAAACTCAGATACTACTACCTGTCCCGTAATTGAAATGCAAAGCAATTGCATTTCATCAGAAATACATGCTTTTGCTCCTCTATTACCTGCACTCCTCAGTATAAAAATTCTATTTGAAAATTTAGACAAGCACTACATTCTGTAGTCCTGAGTTTTAACAGAGTAACACAATGAATTTCAGATGCATCAGCATAAACATGAGTGCAGATTGCCGGTGTTTGTGTGCAGCTACATCCATCCTTCAAACTTTTTTTAACCTACCTTGTGGCTAATGACCTCAGGTGGGAATATGAGAGTATTGCATTTAAAAAGCTGGAAACTTACAGGCAGAAGCGAAATGTAGGTTTTCTGCTGCTCTATATCCTCTGAAGAGACAGACCAAAATCAGAAACTTAATAAGAACACCTTCAATTTATTTTTGCTGGAGTTGGACTCAGAAGAACCACAACTGCTTTTTTATTTTCTATCACAAAAGTCTGAGAAAAGCAAAATACAGTGTTGGACACTGACTTCTAAAACATTGTAGAGACTGAGCATCCTGCAATTGATCTGTGCTCTTTCAAAGAGGACTTTGTTTTGTGTTCAGCTTGACACCACAGCCCTGCCTGAGACAGCAGGAGAGGGATCCACACTCCCTGTTCTAGCAGCATCTCTCATTTCAGGGCCCACAGTCACACCAACCCCAGGAGGACCCAGAGATTCTAAAGAATACCAGCTCCCACCAGCAAGCTCAAGGCCAATGACTTTTAATGGCCAAATTCATGTGCTTTTCTTCTGCTAAATTTTGCCAACCCAAGAAACTGTTGTTTTCAGGTTGATCTGAGACCAGATGTCTTTAAAGCACTAGGAAACAACGGCGACATCATCATTAAAGAAAATAAATTGATATTGTATTAAAAATAGTAATAAAAGTCACATAATTTTGCATTTTCATATACTTAAAGAACATCAATTTATTGAAAAAAAATAACAGTCCCCTTACATCCAGCCGAGTGAGCCAATAATAATGATGTATTTTACAATGTATGAATTTTGCCATGTGCTATGAGGTATCAAAAAATCAATACCACTAAATTGACAAGTTTGTCAATGATTGAAATTAACTTCCTTTTTTGTGGTACTTCACTAAACTGAATTCCATAGTGTCATATTAATTAACATCCTACTTGAATGGTCTGCATAGATGGAAAACAACTAGGTTTTCTCTGGGCATTTTCAGTGCAAGGTTTGTATTATAAGCAGATTAAAACAATGGAGATATTCACATGTAGCCACAAATTATTTACTTACTAATTTAATTGCAAAGGCTCTTTGAAGTAACCGAGGTTAAAATTTTCAAAAGACGCCAGTCAGGATGGATTCTCAGCTGGACTTTCAGGACCCAATGTTTTCCAAAATTGTATATTTATGGAATTTCAGAAAATCTGTGTCTATCTGATGCAGAATTGCAGTCTTTGACCAGAAGCAGGCCATAAGACCGAGAAACTCATTTATGAGGTAACTAGCACACTGACTAAAATGGATAGCTTGTCTCATAGAACTCAGAGAATCCAAATTCCAGGAATGAAACTTAAACAGAGTCATAGGGGAAAGTCCTTCACAGTTCCTGAGTATAAATTCATGGAGATGCTCAATTTAACATTAAAGAGACATAAGGTGAAGTTTAGAGTGCTGGACTGCCAGTGTTATGAAACCCTGAAAAGGCGAAAGGCATCAGGACTTCTAGCTATAATATGCAGCTATCTTGTCTTCTAAGTCTTGTTTTAGGGGAGTTGGCGAATTTAATTGGAAAGACCCTTTGGTTTCAGGGATTTTTTTCCCTATTTACATTCCAGACAACAAGGAGTAGGGGGTTTTTTTCAGAGTAAATATTTTGTTATTTGCAATTATGTTTCTGCTGCTGAAATCAAGCAGATGGATCAGAGAGATCCTCTGAGACGGGTGCTAAGGACCATGTTTTTCACCTTGGTCTTTTGGGCCATGCCCTTAATTGGAGCTTAGTGTCCCATTAATGATTATGCCTCCTGGGATTTTTATGACCATTTCAGAATTACTGTTTCTGCCTAATGTACTGCTGAACAACAGAGAGTCCTTGTAGTCATATCCCAAAGGCCCCCCTATTAAATATACAGCAGTTCTCAATTAACCTGACGTTTAAAAACCACAATAGCTCTAAAGGCTATCTGCTTTGCAAAGTCCCTGGTCTAAACTGATAACATTTAATTGTCCCCTAATGCAATTCTGCCCATATGCAAAGACCAGCTTGTGTGTGACACTCAGAGTCGACTTGTGCTCTTGTTGTGACCGGGCTAACCGATTTCTGTATCCATAAGTATCAGTTTCAAGGCATTAGGATACTGAAATTAACCTTGATTGTATCTCAGAGTTCACAGTATCTGCAGGTTTAAAGAGTAAGCATAAGTTCCTATGAACTATGAAGTTTAAGTCACTGCAGGAATTATATGTTACAGCTCTTTCTTTGAGGTCAGGAGGGTGGATATGAAAAAGAAGATGATAAATTCACTAATTTCAGCAGTGGTGTGGAAAGACAGTGCTGACATGTTTCCATTCTCAGGAAAGTGGATTCTACCACCTTTTTGAAACAGCTGTGACAAGACAAATTTTACAAAAGAAGCCCAATTATTTAACCACAAAAATACACAGGCAATTATACTACAAAGTCAGCTTGCCAAGGTAAAATTAGGTTTTCAGTAAGGAAACGTATGCAAGCTATTATTATTTTTATATGCTCAAAAAAGATATTTTCTAACCTTCCTAGTATACTTGCTCCAACCTCAGTTTCAAAAAAGGCTGATGACATAGCCACAAAGAAGTGTATTTAGCTGCTGATCCTCTGAATTTGCTCAAGTGAGTAGAGATAAAATGCATAAGGTATGCAGAGGTTCAAAGTAAATGGTTCAGCACCAGATATATATTTGCACATGTCTAGTAGAGGAAATTAAAAGTGTTTTCTTGTTTCTTACCTGAATTTCTGAGTTTTAGGCTCCTAGCTTGGTCCTAAGATGCTACTAGGATGCCTTCCTTGCTGGCTGATTCTCCACTTCAATTGGAAAACCATATCAGTGGGAAGAAAAATATGGCTCCCTGAAAAAAAGCAGAACTACATTTGCAAAGTTATGAGAGAGGGGAAAAAAAAAAAAAAAAACACACACAAAAAGAAAACTAGGACAGGAAAGCAAACAGTGTGTCCATGCTTCACTCACACTCCCATCATCCACCAGCACCTGGGCTTTCTTTCTACCCACTGCTGAAAAACTTGCTCTGAGCTTTCAAAGATCAAAGAAAAAAAATAAAAACCTGAAAGTTTTAGTAAAAAATAAAACAAACAAAAAAAACCCAAGGAAATTATCCTGTGGGAATACAATCTGTTTTCAGAGAGGTTTTTTGCAAAAGAAAAACAGCTACTAAGTACCTTGTCAAGGGAGAGACAGGACTAGTGGCCTGGGCACTGTAGTGAGTGTCTGGAGATACCAGTTCAGAGCAATAGATTTCTTGTGTTAGTCCAATGCCAAAAACACCAGCTGCTAGAAGAACATAAGGATTAGAAACTTTGATTTCCTTAAAAATATAAATTTAGTTCTTGTTAGTAAAGTATAAGTTGGGAGAAATATGCTAAGGGAAGCAGATATTGAGGGTGAGAGGGAGCAGAAATTATATTAGTTATGAGTTGTGATCTGGTACATTTCTATGAATAGATTAACTTTGAAATTCATTTTACTAAATAACTCCTTCCAGCCAATAGCTTTTGAGTTCTGATTCATCAACCCAAACCTTTAACAGATGATAAGGCTAATGTGAGGTCCTTTCCCATAAATAAGGTCCAGCTGAGTGCAGAGAGGTATAATTTGTTCTAGAGAAGGAAAAACCTAGGCTAACCATACAGAATGGAACGTTACTCATCACTGATGGCTAGAAAGTGCCTCTTAATGAGAAAGAGAGTACAGGTAAAAGTTATCAATATCTCCAGGATCTTAAGAATGCATAAGGAGGGGAAGGCATATGGGGTCTCTGGTGTGGTCTCCCCAGGGGACATCAGGGAACTGGGGGTGTATATTTCTGCTCTGCTCTTGCCCCAATTCCCTCTTTTCCTCTTTTGCCCCTCCTTCTGCTACAAGTTATTTGATACTTTTATATATGTTTATAGCTTGCTGATTTAATTAATCAACCTGGAAAGGAGATATGCTGTTTAACATCTTCATTGGTGACATGAACAGTGGAATCAAATGCACCATCAGCAAGTTTGCCAATGGCATCAAACTGCGTGGTCCCATCAATACAGTGGAGGGAAAAGATTCCATCCAGGGCGAGCTGGACAGGCTTGAGAGCTGGGCCTGTGCTAACCTGATGAAGTTCAACAAGGCCAAGTGCAACGTCTTGCACCAGGGTTAGGGCAATCCCAAGCACAAATACAGGTTGGGCAGCAACAGACTGAGAGCAGTCCCGAGAAGGACTTGGAGGTGCTGGTGGATGAGAGGCTGGACATGATCTGGCAATGTGCACTTGCATCCCAGAAAGCCAAATGTTTTTTGAGCTGCATCAACACAAGTGTGACCAGCATGTCAAGGGAGGTGATTCTCCTCCTCCATTCCACTCTTGAGACCCCACTGCAGTAGTGTCCATCTCTGTGGCCACAACATAAGAGGGATGTGGAGCTGTTGGAGTGACATCAGAGGAGATGAAGATATGCAGAGGGCTGGAGCATCTCTCCTATGAAGACAGGTTGAGAAAGTTGGGATTGTTCAGCTGGAGCAGGGAAGACTCGCAGGGCTGCTACTCCTTGTAGCAGCCTCACAGTACCTAAAGAGGGCCTACAAGAAAGCTGGAGAGGGACTTATTTTTTGCAAAGGCATGTAGTGACAGAGAAAGGGGTAATGGCTTCAAACTGAAAGAATATATAGAATATATATTAGATATAAGGAGGAAATTCTTTACTGTGAGGGTGGTGAGGTACAGAAAGATGTTGCCCATAGAAATTGTGGAAGCCTCACCCCTGGAAGTGTTCAAGGTCAAGTTGGATGGGGCTTTGAGCAACCTGGTCTAGTGGAAGGTATCCCTGCCTGTGGCATGGGGGTTGGAGCTAGATGATCTTTAACCATTTTATGATTCCATAATCTCCTTCTTTTTGCTGAAAAATTTTTGGTTTTCTGATGTTTTCCTTGTTGGATCTACTTCCCATATAATCACATGAGGTGAACAGCAGAGGCATATAGCCAGAAGGGGAGGAAGGGGCCTCCAAGAATCAACCATGGTAAACTGTAAATCTAGCCCACGATGACAGACAAAACAATGCCTAACAGCTCACTCTTGTTGAAAGAAGGTGGACTTGCTCCCTCTCTTGGGTCAGAGGCTCTGGTGTCAGTATAACTCAAATACAACTCAGTGGAGAAATATCTTACTTTTTTTGTTGTTGTTGTTTTCATTCCTGGCCTAGTTTCTGTAGGTAAGTGAGTTAAATTGACTAACTGAAGCATCCAACACAAGTCAGACTCATTGCACAGTAAATAACAGAAGTGCAGTGCCGGGACTGGCCATGAGTTAGGGTACAGGAGAGTTAAGCTCCACTCCTTGTCAGTGATGATCTGATACTTTGGCTCAGATGGTCCTGAAGAAATGCCTTGGAACACAGAAACCCGAAATTACTCCAAGTTAATTCCAGTGACAATTTTGGTGAAGTTATATCTCACCATTACCAAAAAAAGGAGGTCCCGCTAAGCCAACTAAATTGCTGAATAAACAGGCATCAAACCAGGAGAGGAAAAAGTGCTTTTAACTGGCTTGAAGAGATGACTTAGCACAACAAAATATAGAATAATTGTCAAGCTAGTCCACGAGAGAAGACCAGAGTGTACAGCATAAAAAACAGCATAAAAAGAATAGGCAAAATTTGCTGGTCATGGTTTATAAGTTCACCTGGTGTTTTGCATGCTCACCCACCTCTTATCTGAATGTCTGCAGCCATCTCAGTGCATTTCCATTAACTTCTCTGTGTGGTAGTTAAGATTACCCATGTCTTGTAGATGGTGAATTGAAACCGAGGGTACTCAAATAAAAAATAGGGATCTTCCTGGAATGTTCTCTGGTGTGCAAAAATAAGGACAAGTTGCTCCTCATTCTGAAGACCAAAATGAAACCAATAAATTACAGAGGCAGATGATAGGATGTACATCAAAAATCCATATTTGATTATTCAATGCCTATTGTGTTCCTTCACAATGTTTGTATTATTAAACAAAATTTCTAACGTTAAAGATTTTAAAGAAAGAAACTTCAGTAAGCACATTGAGAAAGCGGCAAGTGCACTTCAAGCAGAAAGCTGCCTTTATCATTATAATAGCATGAAAGAGCTTTAGGAAAAAAAAAATCAAGTGTACAAATTATCCGACATTCATTGCATGACATCCTGACAGCTATGTTAGTCCTGATAAAAATATCCAGGAGGACGGCACATTGCAGATGGCACTTCATAATGCGTTCACTTAAAAGCAGTCATTCCCTACCTCAGAGAAAGCGCAGCTTGATGAAGGCCATAGGACACTTGGTTCAGCCAGTAAAAGCTGCTTGATGAGGGCATCTTTAGTTAGTTAGTTAGTAACTTATTCATTCATTCATTCATCTTATGCAGAGAAATTTGATGAAACTTGAAGGAAAAACCATAGCTTTGCACCTTCTTTGTGAAATCCAGAATCCAGAGTCTAGTTCAAATAATATCTGCTTCTCTGAGGATTACAAGTGTGAAAAATGGGTTAAATTGCCCTAGACTTTCACCTCTGGAAACATGGAAACATGAGCTCAAACCTTACTTCCTATAAGCTACCAGTGAACTGATTGACTATTTATCAGTGCCACAAAGCCAATAAATTACTGGGCAACCTGATAGGATTGATTGTCAAAAGATGCCCAGGAATGGAACATCCTGCCCAGGATGAGATATTTTAGCAAATCCCTATAAGTGACCTTCAGGAACAGTCCATCTCACGGCCCACCCCACTCTTCTGCTTTGGAACAGAAAAAAACCTGTTTGCCTAGAATATTATACAGAAGAATATTTTAATAAATACCAAGTAGAGATATAATTTTCCTAGCAAACAAGATCTCAACTCAACGGTACAAATGTCATATTTACATTCATCTTATTAAGATTTATACTATTTAATGGTGGGCTTTAAGAATTACACTATAAACAGAATATAATTTTCATATAAAAGGGATAGTATATTTTTAAATCAAGCCTGTAGAAACTCACTCATCAGTGGTTTATGAAACTTGAGTACACTGATGCTTCAGTACTCAATTAATGTCAGGCAATATGGATTTCAATCTGGCTTGAAATATATTTAAACAAATGAAGTAGATACAAATGTTGGCTCTTTGGCCAGCCAGAGCTAAAAATCCATTTTCTACCCCATTTATAATAAGAAGTAATCTGAATGTAATTTATCTAAAGCACAATATGTTTCCCTAATTTTTACATGTAACCATTACTTATAGTTTAAGTAATAGTTATATCCATGGATCTTAGTGCACTTAATTGAAAATTCATGGTATTAAAACATAAAGCTCCATCCTTCAAAAATAAAAGCATTATCCTAAGGAATAATTGAAGCGGGGGAGTAAGGGCTGGGAAAAGGCAAAGGAAGGGAACCTTGACAGAAATCCTTAAATGCAAACATTTCTTCCCATTTATGTTATATTAGGATTGTTTTTGAATAAAATTAGTCTCTTTCAGCCCCATATTTCAGTTTAGATTACAAAATTCTCTCATCTGATTGCCACATTTTGCGCTGAAGTCAAATCCTTCTGCAGCAGAGTGACATGTCAAGGGTGACAATGACAAATTGTCACTAAGTAAGGAATAACACATGACAGGGCGTTCGGCCATAATGAGATATATGCATGCCTCAAGAGCATTTGCAGGCATGAGGCTGAAGGGCGATTGCTCCCAGCACTCATAATGTTGCTAGGTCTCATTAAGACTTTACATGCACTGGAATAGATTTCTAGTGATTAAAAGGAAAAAAAAAAAAAAAGATTTATGAATGAGTAAATCACGGTAGCAAGTTTTATTTTTATTCATACTTCCCTAGGAGTGTGTATGGCTTATAAGGCCAGGTTGACAAAGGAGAAAGGGTCTTTTATCCCTCTTTTAAATTTTTTATGCTACTGTCCATCATGGCAAAGTTCAAGTTCCATCCCCTCTAAATGAATAGTAACAGTGAAATCTTTGGCCTAATGGACTTGATGGTGCTCCCTGACACGTATTCATTTGTAGCCATAAACTTTACATGGGCAAGATGTTACTCTTCAAATATATGATGACTTTATTAATGTCTCTTTTTGTTGGTGTGGGTTTAGAGGTAATACAGGGGCATGTCAAAGTTCATGGGAAGGTTTTTAACTTATCCTCTGTGATTTGATTTCTAATGACTTTTTAAACTTAGTACCTCTTAATTAATAATAAGCACAACCGCTAAATCCTGACAAGACTATCATAACATAGAAACTTTTATGAAGAAGGTCA